AATTCACCCACATTTATAAGTGTTGCAGGTGAAATTTGATGCTGAGTTCCTGGCTTGGCTTTCTAACTTCAAGAGACTTTTAAAAAGTCCAATTTGAATTTCTTAGGTAAACTTGCAGCTAAGCAAGCTTAATACCTAAATGGTAAATTACCAGTTTTGCTGCACTTATGTAAGTAATCAAGCCAAATCTAATGAGACCAGATTTATTTTATGATCAATAATCTTTCTTTGAGATTATCTTTGACCAAAAGAGAGTGGTAGTGATTGCACAGAGAAATTTTGCATTTCAACTCTTAATTAAAGCACAGCTAATCAGATGCACACTCTGTTCTTTGTCTTTGAGCTGTTTTGCACTTCTTTGTAAACTGCAGGTAACTCATGGACATGCATACTCTGTCTTATCAGGCCTAGATTTAATTGACTTCCTCTCTCACTGTGGAAAAATCATTTGGGTACCAATCTGTAGATTGGACAGGATCCTCTTAGCTTACACAAATTGTCAACTCTTACAAAATTTTCATCTACTCTGAGCTTCTTTAGTATCTGGCTACAATCCTGCAAAACTAATGTTTCCAACTTTTCTCCCTCCTTCCTGACTTGGCATCACCAAGAACTAAAATTGACTGCCCAAATCCCTATTGGGACTTTATGTTGCCTTGTAGATGGCCTTTTCTCCCCGGATCTAAGGAAGCACTGGGAGCTAAGGCCAGAGGTTGATATATACCTCGAAGGACTCACTACTGCAGAAGATCATGCGTGGGCCAGATGTTTCCCTGGACACCCAACTGTGTGGGCCACTGAGAAAGTCCGGTGACATTTGAGTGATCCATGCCCTTATGTGAGAGGTAACCAAGACTGTGGACATCGTCTCCAAGAGCATCGACCTCCTCTCAGCTGCAAAAAACTCAAGGAGCACCAATCTCTCAGATTCCACTGGATTAGGGGTTCAATCACTGTCTCATTACCTTAAGAGAACATTTCATATTAATATTTCTTTTTCATTTCAGGCCTCCCTCTTGTAAGATGCCTAGGACCCTGAAACAACTAACTGAGGTTGGCCACCACCTCTCAGCAGATGGTTCAAACGATTTTGCAGGAGCAAGGCCAACAAGCATCCCCAAGAGACTATTTCTTAGCCCTTGCTTTGTCCCACTCAGGAGCCTCTGTGTTGTTCAGCAAGAATGATATTCATTCATCTTGAACAAAAGCAGTGAATGACAACGTTGACTTTAACTGGGCCTGGCACTCCCAGAAAACAGGAAAAGTTAAGAAATCTCCCCACCTTTTGTTTTCCAAAATCCCCCCACCCCTTTCTGTTCCCAGAAACAGCTTACTCTGAAGAACCACCCTTCCCCATATGATTTCCATAAGACTCATTGTCCAGTCTTTCTCTTGACTCCCATCAGACCCGCAGATGACTTTCTTGTGTACCTGTAGCAAGGTAAAAGGCAGACCTTTGGAGAAAGATCCTTGGGAGAACAGAACCTTTGACTGAATCTGTTGCAACGCCAAATACAAACCCTCCAACTTTCTGTTCCTTGTCTCCTAAATGATTAGCTGAGATTAGAACTGTTTGTCCACCTGAAACTAGCTAAACACAGAGATAAACATTTCCTATTCAGTTAACTGACTGAGACTTCTGATTACAAAACAATCCCAACTGTAACTTGTCCGCTCCACCCTATAAAAAGTCTAGGGCAAAACCACCCTGCTGAAACACTCAGATCTGTGGATCTGTGGTGCTCTTCTTTTTGCAATGACTTGAATAAAATCAATCTCCATGGCTATTTGAGTTTTATCTTTGACAACATGGATAAAGGAACACTTATTCAATAAACTTGTATGGGCATATTCTAGAATTTACATTCGTGGAGTACACATAACAATAGTGAAAGCTGGATTGGGGTCCTGAAAAGAACTGGATTACTACTGCACGTGTAAATAGAAATTGAAAATGAAATAATCTTCCCTGGTGCAAAAAGGGAAATATCCCCCCTCCCTTTTCTTAGAGTATTTCCTTTAGAAAACTTCTAATTATCATTTTTTTCTCTGCCTCTTTGAGATGTATGTGAGTATTTTAAAAGGAAAGAGGTCCCATTTTACAACTCACGAATGTTTCCTCAAGGACTTGGGATCCAGATCTTTGAAATGTAGTCATCTAGGAGGACAGTTTCCCTATCTCCCAGTTTCTGTGGGACAGTCGGAGCCTAACTTTAGCTGGCACCTGGCTCCAAGCTGCAAACCTATATGCTGTCGTAAAGACATGAGAAATTTATTTTTCTTTGGATAAAGGCAATTAGCAAACACAAATGCCCCCCCACCAATTACCAGGTGAATTTAGAATGAACTATGTGTGTCAATTTGTCACACTATGGTGGCTTGCGTGTTGCTACGATGATGAAGGCTATGCCACTGGTACTTCAAATACTAGCAGGGTTGCCCATGGTGGACAGGTTTCAGTGGAGCTTCCAGACCAAGTCAGACTAGGAAAAAGTCTGGCGACCAACTTCCAAAAATTAGCCAATGAAAATCTTATGTATCACAACAGAACGTTCTCCAACTCGCTTGCTTTGGACACATCCTCAGGAGGGATCCATCACTAGAGCAGGGCATCTTGTTTGGTGAAGTACAGGGCTAATGAGGGTGAGGGAGCCCCTCAGTGAGATGGATTGGCACAACAGCCACAATGATGTACTTGAACATGCTGGCTGAACGTGAGGATGATGCAGGACCGGGCAAGGTTTCATTCTATTGTACATAAGGTCTCCATGAGCTGGAGTCAACTCAACGGCAGGCAGGTTTCTCCACTCTAAGGACCATTTTTCCCTCTCCAGTCTCTACTAGTGAGAAGCCAGTCAGCAAGTCCAGTCCACACTCAAGGGGAGGGAAATTAAATGCCAACTCTTGGAGGGACGAATATCTATATACATTAGTTGTAATTCTTCTGTAAGGGAGATTTGTCTTCTACCTTCTATTTATTTTTACGGTTAATCATTTATTTATAGTAGTATGGACTCCTGGATATTTATTTTATTCTTTGGGTTATAATCTAGTACTAGGTAATTTGTTTTGTTGCTCAAATTTGTTAACATTTTCTAGTTTAATCTTTGCTCGGGCTTGTATGTCACTCAGTCTGCATCTACCCTAGATAAACAAATGTTGAGTTCCTGTTTGTCCCTGAATATATCTTTTCTTCTCTAGATTTGGGGTCCGTTATTTGTCCTGTGACCTTGGTTCTCTGGTGGATTCAAGAAAAGTCATTAATTTGCAGCAATGCTCTCTCCTTCTTTGAACTCAACTGTTAAAGTTCTGATAACTGTCAGAAGCATCTTTCCAAATAGCCACAAAATATCCCTCAGAAAAACCCCCTGGTTAAAGCATGATCCAAGAGCTCACATGAGATAAAAATCAAACCAAATCCCTTGCCATCGACTCAATTCACACTCATAGTGACCCTGTAAGACAGAGTAGAACTGCCCCATGGGGTTTCCAAGGTGGATTCAAACTGCTGGCCTTTTGGTTAGCAGCCAAGCTCTTAACCACTGTGCCACCAGGGCTCACGTGACATAATAGATGTTTCAATTACAATATAATTTCTGACTCATTAGTTCTACATGCTTTGAGTTTTTTAATCCATCCTGGTGCCACTAAAGAAAATAGGAATAGAGAAGTTATTTCTTCATGTCAATTCCATTTTCTCTCTTTGCATCACTTCCATTTTTCCCTCATCAAGACAGAACCTCTAACACACATGGAGACCACGGCTCCTTGCTTGTTTTAAATCTGCTCCATTCATCATGCTTTCTTGCCTTACAGCAATATGTTTACTCCATGTTCTGCCCTCAGTAGAGAACACAGTAAATTATCTAAAACAGAAAGCTCACATTATTCCCACAAAGTACAGCAAACAAGCAGGGGAGTGTTTGTGCTACATCACCATCAAGCAGCCCTCACACAGATGGGTAATGGTAAAAATCAACAGTAATGAAAAATGGAGGATGTCTGTTTTTTTTTTTTGTTTTGTTTTAATGGGCATTCCTCCCAGGTTCTCAGAAAGAAATGCAACACACATTCAGGACCTGAGAAGGTTGAAGGGTTGAAAGAAACAGGTCACGGGTATCTGAGCAGAGTAAACATAATGCCATATCATAGACTCAAGCAATTACCTGGAGAAAAAAACCCATAGCTTAATGCACCATGAATAGATGTGGAGAAAGTAGCATGAAAATGTGGCAGCTCGTATGATTAAATGCTATCAAGATGTAGTTTTGATAGGAGACCAATGACATGTAAACTGTAAAAAGCTCTCTTCATCTTCCTCTCAAGAGAACATTAGAAAGATATTCATTTCTATGGAACATACTATCTGAATGCAACCGATGGTCTGTTGGCCCCTTGAATTAATAGGAAACTTACTGTTGCTGAAGATTCAAATTATCTGTCAAAAAAAAAAAAAGAGTAAAAACTTAATATGCACAATTTATAACATTAAGTATTTATAAAAGAAAGTTAGGTTCTACTACTGGGTTGATGAAAGAAAAAAAAAACATATGTGGGAAAACGAGTTGGGGACAGAGGAGAGCCTGAGAGTAAAAATCTGTGAAACAGCCAAGATTCCTGGGATAACTTCAGACTTAGAAAAGCCATGAGATTGGGGGTGCTTTAGCATAAATCTCTAAGGGATAAAGGGGATCAGGTTGCAGGTTCACAGGCGTAATGAATAGAAAATTGCACCGAAGGTCTACTAAGACAGGAGGAGAAGGTGGAGTTCAAAGGCCCAGAGAAAGGTAGAAAGTTCTAGAAGGCCCAAAAGAGAGGAGGGATATACGGGCTGGATGGTGACGGGAGGGGCTGTGGGTCAGCCTCCTCTTGCTGTCCCCTGCCCCACCCTCAGGAGCCCTTTGTGAGGAGGCTACAGCTCTGTGACGCAGCCCTGGATTTACAGGCCCGACTGTGCTCAAGGTGCTCAGTTGCCTAAGAGCAACAGTGCGTTTCAGATAATGGTGGATTATCCCTATCCTCTGAAAAGGGCTAACCCTGCAGAGCTGAACTCCCGCTGCACTTCCTGGGCCACTGATATCTTCGTGGTCATTCTGTGTGCATTGGGGCTCTTCCTTCTGTTACTCCCCTATCTCCTCCAGGGTAATCCACCCTTACAACCACCTAAGAAAACTATAAACATCGAGACGGTAAGGAACTCTCAGCCCAGCCCCAATATTGATTCTCCCTCTTTTTTTTTTTTTTTTTTCCTTCCTATTTCCATTTTCTAAATCAAGTAGAGAGATTCCTGAGATGGGAAACTTCAGAAAAATAGAACATCAGCCTTCTAGAGACAGACAGGGCAGGCCAGGGGCTAGAGCAGGCATCAGGATTTCTATCTGAAGATCTCAGACCATCTGTCTGGGTGTAATAGAGGGCTTCAGGGAAAAATACCAAACAAAGTGACTCTGAGGCCAAGGACTGGATTACTGAGAGTCTGGCATCCCTGCCGGAGGACAGAGCCCACAGCCCTGGTTCATCAGCTGCCTTCCATGGCAGGTGTCTCTGGGCGAAGTTCTCCCTTGTGTCTGGGCTAATTTAGAAAGCGGTGCTGAACACCTGAGAGCCTCTGATCAGGGGCCAGAGCCGAACTCTGACCTCCAAAAGCCTAATCCTACCTGACAAAACACAGAGGCATCCGTATGTCTGCGAGTCTGTGCCCTTCTTGAGCAGAAGAACGGTCACTGAAGAAATCCTGGCTAGATCTCACATAGAAAATCCTTCACTGAGTTGTTCAAAGAAGGAAAGCAAAATGTTTTCATCCACTGTAAGAATGAATGAAAGGGAAAAACACAGAACTCCATTAACTAAATGTAGAAAGTCATTTGATTTTCATAAATACCGAATGTCAGCATCTTGGACAAACGATCAGGTACAGAATTGGGTCTCAGCCCCGCATTCTTTTCTTGTATCTCAGCCTCAAGTCGAGACGAGGAAGAGGAACAGGAAGAACAACAGTGACACTCTAAAAGGTAAGATTCTGCCCACTCAACCGAGCTCCCAGGTTAACCCTAACCTCTCCTGTCCCTGAGCGCTGGTCCCCGGGCTCGGAGGGTGCCAGTTACTGGAGCACGTCCCTCTCAGGTAACAGCCCCGAGAGGGAGGCTCCTGGGGAGGGAATCAGAACCCGGCTACTTTTCATATTTCGTGCTGGGCCTTCGGGAGGACGAAGCCACGGTGGGCCTCGCAGTGGTGTGGCCAAGCAGGGGGCGGTGTGGGATGTATGACCAGGTAACTGGTGGATCTGGAAATGGAACAACTCCAACCAGGACAAGCTGTTTAACTTTGTCAAGGATCACATTCCTCACTGAGATGTCACAGGGGATAACAGACTGGGAAGCACTTTGTAAATGACAAACCACCTCACACATGAGCCCTCCTCTGAGAGCCAACAATCATGTGACCTTGGGCTCTCAGAGCCTAACCTCCTGATGGTGTCTCCGGAGGGACAGTCCACTCAGCTTCCGGTAACGACGGTGTCCCCTGAGGGACACTCCAATCAGCTTCCGGTAGGGACGGTGTCCTGAGGGGGACAGTCCACTCAGCCTCCTGTAAGGACGGTGTCCCCAGAGGGACATTCCTTTCAGCGTTCGGTAAGGTCCCGTGGCCCTGAGCTTCACTACCATAACCCACTCTCCTGATTTCCAGCTTGCAGAGGTTTCCTAAAAGAACTGCACGAGGCTGTGAGCCTGCTTTCGCTTCTGCGAAAGTGAGTAACCTTTCCCCTTTTCTCCTGTGCCCATCTTCCTACGAAGGGCTCCTGAGTGACCTCAGGGCCGCAGAGCAGATAGGGCTGACTTGGAGGGCGCCTGCGGGTAGGTCAGTGAGAGGAGCCCTTAGAAGAGGGCGAGCAGGAGCCTGGTACCGTCAGGGCGTGGGGGAGGGGCAGGTGACGTCAAGGCGTGGGGAGGGGGAGGGGGACGTCAGGGATTGGGGCGGGGCTTGCCGGGCCTGCGAGGCCCTCCGGGCAATTGCCCGTGGGCTGCGGGTAGGTCAGTGAGAGGAGCCCTTAGAAGAGGGCGAGCAGGAGCCTGGTACCGTCAGGGCATTGGGGCGGGGCTGGTGACGTCAAGGCGTGGGGAGGGGGAGGGGGACGTCAGGGATTGGGGCGGGGCTGGTGACGTCAGGGCGTAGGGGGGTGACGTCAAGGCGTAGGGAGGGGGAGGTGACGTCAAGGCGTGGGGAAGGACGGGGCGTGTCCTGCGGATGTCCCCACCCCTGCCGGGCCTGCGAGGCCCTCCGGGCAATTGCCCGTGGGCTGCAGCTTGATCCTTTGTCTCGTGCAGCCTCCTGGAAGAGCCGCCAAGCAAGGGCAGCTTTCGTCCGCGGAAACGTGGAGAGCCCTCTGGTCCGGTGCGCAGAAGAGCGCCTACTGAAGCCCGCCGTCGGCCGCGTGCGGAGCTGTGTGATGCAGAGCCATGTGCGGAGCCCCCTGCAGAGCAGAAAGATGCGGAGCCAGCCAAAGCTGCTGCCCCCGTGGTGCCACCCTCTGCTGCCACGGTGCCTCCGACCCAGCCCTCTCGTCATCCGGCCTCCACCGCTTCAGCAAGACCTCCGGGAGAGCCATCCGATTTGAAGACGGGGGGCTCTAACCTGACACCTGAGCACCCTTCTAACTGGAAAACCTCCCCGGAGAGGTTTTCAGGTAACTCATATTATTTGGCGTCTTCTGTTCCAACCATGACAGGCCTTGATTGTCCAAGTCGTCCCGTTTCAGCTCTCTCCTGGTGGTGGGCGGTTTCCAAGGCCTTGTTCTTTCCCACCTGCAAACACTGCGAATCCCAGCAAGTGCTTACTTCCCACCACCCATCAAAGGCCTGTTTCTGGGAAGCTCGCACAAACAGGAGCATAGAAGCTGGGAGCCCCTCTTTCCTTAACCCTGACGTCCAGAAGCCCCTGGAAATGGAAAGCGCAAAGAGAATGGAACTGAAGATTAGGAAAGAGAAAGAAAAGGATGAATCGTTTAAAACACACGTGAGCCCAGACTACCACTCAGCCAGTCATGAGCAGACCGCCACAGTCCCCCAGCGGTTCTGGAGCAAACCACAGCAGCTGTCCAGTTCTAAGCAGCTCATATATCACAAGGCCCTGGGGGACCGTTTAAACCAGAAATGTAACCAGTTCTTCTGGGGCCTCCCCTCTCTGCACAGCGAGTCCGTGGGGGCTACTGCCTGGGTCTCCGGGAGCTCTTCCTCACTGCAGTCGCCCTCTGTTTTATTCAGTAGAATTTCTAATGCTTGCCCAGTTCAAGTATCCTCATCGCTCTCCCAGTCCCAGCCTTTGCCCCACCCTGAGGCCCAACCCCACGCACCACCTCTGGCTCCAGTCCTCACCCAGACCCCTCTCCAATTCTCTTTCCCAATTCTGCCACCAGCTTCTACAGGCCAGATCAGGGGCTATGTAATATCTTGCCCTAGTTCCCAAAGTGAAACACAATCTCTCATCTCAACTGAAATGCAACACCTAGAATCACCCTTGGAACAACAACTGACAAGCGGGAGGGCTTTGCCCTCTGTGGCCAAAGGGTCTCAGGGGGCATTTAGTCCTCTCAGTCCCAAGCTTTCCCTGGACAGCAAGGCCTCTGAGGCCCACAAGTCAGACTCCGTCCTTCCTGGGGATGTTCCTAGCAAAACTGAGCTCCAGAAACAACTAGAACAACACATCCGAAAGAGGCTCAGCCAGCACAAGCGGAGCCTGCCCAGCAGGATCCAGGAGTCTCTGGAACTGACAGAGCCTTGGGGAAAATTACGAGGAACAGGTCAGGCGAAGGCCCCGCGTGGACCCTCTCGGCCTCCTGTGTTTATAGGTGAAAGCAACAAGGATGTAAAGAAGATGGGATCCAGGCACCAAGAAAGCTGCCATGTGAGGAGCCCAGGACGTTTCCAGTTACGGAAGGACCTGCGCAAGGGTCTGGGGCAGGTCCCAAAATATGATGTATCCCAGTGCTCAGAAGAATCCCCAGTGAAGGTTCTGCAGACAGGCTCTGAGGAGTTACTCTCAGGGTATAACACGGGAAATTACATACTAAGGAACCCAAATAAGAAACAACTAGAAAACACCCCGGAAGTCGATACGGGCAGAGAGATGGGGCAGATTACCGAGGGCCGGATTCCTGTAGATGTGTGCCGTTCTTGGCTTACTGCCAACCATAGTCTGCCCAAGTCTGATACTCACACAGAAACTGGAAATCCAGTGTCCTCAGAGCATCGGGCACACCGCGTGAATGCCACCCAGGAGTCTTCGTTCCTTAAGCCGGGCACACGGCAGTGGGACCTATCCGTTCAGGCGAGTGAGCCCATGAATCTCAGTTTGAGTGAGAGTCGATCATCACCCCTTTCCCAGAATGAATTTCCCTGCTCAGCTACCCATGAATCTTGGACCAGCTCAAGAGGAGAGTCTGCCAAGTTCTGGGGAGAAAACTCCCAGGCAGGCTGGGAAGAGAAGACAACGGCAAAAAAGTCAGACCCCACCCTGGAGAGTCCTCTCCCTGCCCCCTCACCTGTGGGTAAGGAAGTTCAAAGGACTCTGAGATCGGACTCATCTCATGAGGACCATGGGCCCTCAGAGGCCACTCACAGTGGACAGGAGGGCAGGCAGCCTTTTCAGCCCCTCACACCCAGCATCGTGGGCAGAGCCTGGGAGAGCAGTACTGTCCTGGGGGCCCAGAAAGGCAGCCTAGAGCCGACTCCAAGTCAGTCAGTGGCCAGGAAGGGGCCAGGGGAGGAGAGTGCACGATGTGCCCTAGGAGGCCCCAGCCCTAGTGTAGCAAGGTTGGAGATGAGCTATGAATCCCAGTCTTCAGGGGCCGAGGAGACCAGGGAGATGGTGGTGGTCAAGAGGTCCTCGGAACTACAACTCCAGGACAGAGACATCTTGAGAACAAGTGTGCTGGCAAGATCCCAAAACATAAATGCGGATCTGAGGGGTTGGGGGACTCCAGGGACTAGTAAAAGCCCCCCACCTCCTAGAATGTCTGTTCGAGATCCAGGAAAGACACACCTTAAAGCACAGGTGTTTAATGAGGAAGAGCTCAACATGGAGTTAGAGACAGTGAACCAGCCTCAAGACTGTCCCGTTGACGTGCTCCTTCAGGACTGTGCCACGGAAATGATTCTTCAAGGCTGTGCCACTGATGTGATCCTTGCCTCAGATATCTTGGCTTCTCAGGCCTCTTGCTCCCATCCGAAGCATGTGTCCAGTAGGGACATGCGTTTGAAAATGCTGCATGACTTCATGGTAGCCAGAGGGAGCAGCCTGGGGCAGCAAGACCACAAGATCCCAAAACTTCAGGACCTATGGAAGAGCCAGAGGAAGATTTCTGCCTCCACAGATGAGAGAAAGGATTTTAGGGGGCGCAAACCAAAAGAGCATGAAAAAGGGCTGGCAGGATTGGAGGCCTCCCCAGCTAGTGGGATGAGCCAGCCTGCCCTGGACAAGAGGTCAGTAGAGTGCCTTGACATCAAGTTCCCCCAGCTCCCGGCAGAGAATGGACAGGCTCCTCCAGAAGGCCACTTCAACAGGAGAACGAGGAACTTTATTCTAAGCATTTGCCCCAATAAAAAAGACAAAGGGCAAGATGATCCCCTGCGAGAAGGAAAGGGAACTTCATCCTCTGGCCAGAGCCATGGACCAGTCAAAGGCAAATCAGTGTTTATGGACAGGGGGGCTGCTGAGGTTGAGACACTTTCAAAGGCTGTTGGCCAGATCTTAGTAGAGAAACTTAAGCTTCAGCAAGAATTATATGCCTCGAAGTTAAATCAGCAAACAGAGAAAATCCAGGAAAGTCAGGATCCGGTTGGTGGGGGTCCATCCTACCACAAGTCTCCCTCTTATCCAGAGCACAGGAGAGGAATGAGTGATACAGTCTGCATTCACCGTGGGAACAGATGGACCCATGAGGGGTGCAGAAATCCCTACACCATGGTGAAATTCAAGACCAGTGATCGGGCATTTCCTTCCAGGGGTCCTATGTCCCCAGTCACTTCTTGCCAGCATGGGTCAAGGATGTGGGGTGCTTCAGGCTGCCCTCACCAGTCAACATTCTGCCATCAGAAAGGAGTCTGTTACAGTCAACCAGAAAATGCTTCCCCGGCCTTTTCTTGTAGGAGTGTTCGGCCGATGCAAAGACAACCCATTTATTCTCACGTTAGTACATTCCCTATGTGCTAACACTTCTCCCAGCCAATATGCTTGTTGTTCCGTAATACATACGTTTTTACTCATAAAAGGGTTGTGGCTTCTGTCTGTGCTGTGCTGATGTGTATTGGAGGGGTCAGTGTCTACTTTTCCTGAGTGCCTGCCGTGGCTTCTAGAAGGGATGAGGCCCGGAGGGAGGTTATCAAGATGAAAAAATCCTATGAAGACTCCACCCCAGGATCTGGTTCTTGAACGTTATGCAGCTACAGGGGATGGCCAGGATTTTCCCACATAGCTTCACAGTCACAGAACAGGCATAGCAAGTTTGGGGGGCCGCTCTGGGGGCCTCTTCTCTCCGGGATGAAGACCAAGGAGGTGGGCCCTGCAACCCCCCTCTTAGCTTTCCGATAAAGAAATGTAACACAACACCCTTCCCCTGGCTCTGCCTGTCTCATGCTCCAGAGCAGCCTCAAGGACAGAACTTCCAGCCTTGTGACATGTGGGTGGGGAGCTGCCAGGGAGGGCCCAGATGAAAAGTGTGCCCTCTCAGTGGCCCTGCTCATGGGTTACCAACTTTCCCCTCTGTCTCAGCCCAGAGAGGAAGCAGACGCTCGGGGTGAGTGGTATAGGGTGAGTGTGTGTGGAGAACCACTGACTATCTGGTGCTCTGGGCCTAGGGGGGCGTGCAGGAGAAAAGCAGTATCATTTTTCCAGTAGGATGAGCCAAAGGGAAGGGAGTACCAAGGAAAGCTGCGAGGGAAAGGGCAACACGGAATTTACAGGTTTGAACAAGGAATCTGTACAAATCTTCAAGTAGCACTCAGGTAATTTTCCACCACTTTAGTGGGAACTGGATTCAAGCTGTTGTTAGGTGCCTTCGAGTTAGTTCCGACTCATAGGACAGAATAGAACTGCCCCATAAGGTTTCTAAGGAGCAGCTGGTGGATTTGAACGGCCAACCTTTTTTGGTTAGCAGCCGAGCTCTTAACCACTGCGCCACCAGGGCTCCAGATTCAAGATAGTGGCATGGAAATTGATCCCTGGCCTGGATCAGCTCTTACTACCTCTGATCAAATGAGGTGGCCTAGTTCAGGAGTAGCCTCTGTTCTTTCTCTGCTTCTAACACAGGTTTCCTCTTCCCCTGGCCCCAACCCATACGGGAAAGCAGGAGAGCCCCCCAGAAAGCAGGGAGGTGAAGAGCAATTTCTCTAGAGAAAGTTCTTACACACCTGGCTCCACACCTAGGGCTCTCAGTGTGGCCCAACTCCAGGGGCACCCCTCCCGTGGTGGAGATTTGTGCTCCAGGAGGTGTCATGATATAGCTGATACTGGAGGGCTCCCTGTGACTGCACAACACCAAGTCCTGTCCTCCACATCTCAGTCAGGACGCCAGAGCTGAGTTCTCCCTGCAGCCAGGTGCTACCCTGGGGCCCTGATTGTGAGGCAGCCTCTGGAGTGGGTACAACAGTGGGGGCAGAGCCTGCACCTGCAGGAGGGGCCAGGGGCCTCTGAGCAGAGAGCTGCATGAGCCCTCGGAAGGTGAGAAGAAAGTCCAGGGCGTGCCTGGCTGACACTGAGGTAAGTTCTGGACCAACTGCTGCTGATCCCCACTGTTCCTGCCAGAGAAGTGCACAGATGGGGCGACTGACGGAACAGAGAGAAGACTGAAAGGAGCAAGTCCCTTCCCTTTCTCCTGCCCCCTGATCTTCCCATCATGTGCAGTAAGCTCAGAAATGAAGAGATCCACTTGGAGATCTCACAGAAAGATCTCCACAGAGACCTCACAATGACCCACAAAGAAACGTCAAAGAGAGACCTCACAGACTTGGAGACCTCTCACCATCAACTCAGACCTCTTGTAAACCTCCCACAGTGACCTCTCGCAGACAGACCTCACACAGAGAGCCACACTGACCACAGAGAGACTTCCCACAGACACCTCGCACAGAGAACTCTCATAAAGCTCTCCCACAGAGGCCTCCCACACAGACCTTCCAAAAACACCCAACACAGAGACCTTTGGTGACCTTACAGACACCAGACAGACCTCACTGGCAGACCTCAGAGAGACCTCCTCCAGAGACCTCTCACAGAGATCTTACACAGCCACCTCTCACAGATAGACCTCAGAGAGAGACCTTTTACAGGGTCCTCTTGACAAGCCTCCCACAAATAGACCATTCATAGAAAGATGTCCCACAGAGAACTCTATAGAGACGTCTCACAGAAAGACCTCCCAAAGAGGCCTTGCATAGAGATATAACACAGAGATCCTCACACAGACCTTATATACAGCCCTCCCACAGATAAATCTCTCACAGAGAGGTCTCCCACAGAGGCCAACACAAAATCCTCACATAACACCTTGCACAAAGATTTCCCCCAGAGAACTCTCAGGGACTTCACAGGGAGACCCACACACAGACCTCACAGGGATGTTTTATGACAGACCTCCCACAGAGAGTAACCACTGACACCACAGAGACTTCCCACAGAGACCTCTGAAAGATATACCTCCCACAGAGAACACCCACAGGCACCACACAGAGATCTCACACAGAAACCTCAAAGACCTCCACAGAGAGTCCTCGCACAGATCCGTCACAGAGACACCACACAGAAACCCACACAGAGACCTCCCACAAAGACCTCAGACAGAGATCTCCCACAGAGACTTCCTGCAGGGACCTTTGACAAAGATCTCACACAGAGCTCACACATGGAGACCCCTCTCAAAGACTCCCACAGAGACCTCCCAAAGAGACAGCCATTCTAAGGAGCCTGAGCGGGCACCTACTGCCAGGTTCTTCCGGGTAACTGTGAAACTACTTCCCAAACTCGGAGTGCAGGAGGCACATCAGTAGCTGTGCGCACCAGAGGACAGGTTTGTGTATTTTTGTCTTTTATGTTTTTACTTCTGAGCAAAAACGTTAGATTCTACATGTAAACCTGCACAAACCTTTCCTCCACAGGTTTTCATTAGCTTGTGCTCTGACCCACAGGTAAGAAAATCACAATCTTTTAGAACAAGTAAATCTTCCACAGCTTCTAAGGAGGGAAAATACCTCATTTGTCCAGGTTTTGTTATCAACCGGTTGAATGACACCAGCGTCACATTTCTTATTTTGTTGGGCACCACTTCCTGCACTCAGAATGACTGATTCCTCACCTCTCCCCCCGTTTGGATATTTGACGAGGGAAGTACTACAGCAAATGGACTTTAGAAGTGAAAAGAACCAGCAAAGATGCATCTGACTCATGCTCACTCCCTGGGGAGCTGTAAAACTGGTACATTATTTTACACATAACAGCTTGTGTCATGTTTGTGGGGTTGTTTTATTTTTAAATGAAACAAGGTATATTATTAAATATCTGAATATTTTTTTACAAATGAGACAAATTTCTAGCAATATCCATATTACATCCTCTTGTAAATTTATACTCATGGCTTAAAAATAATATCAAAAGATTGTTGTGTTGTTGTTAGGTGCCGTCAAGTCGGTTCCGACTCATAGCGACCCTAGGTACAACAGAACGAAACACTGCCCAGTCCTGCGCCATCCTCATAATTGTTCTTATGCTTGAGCCCATTGTTGCAGCTACTGTGATGAGGGTCTTCCTCTTTTTCACTGACCTTCTACTTTACCAAACATAACGTCCTTCTCCAGGGACTGGTCCCTCCTGATAACATGTCCAAAGTACATGAGACGAAGTCTTGCTTGCTTCTAAACAGCATTCTGGCTGTACTTCTTCCAAGACAGATTTGTTCATTCTTCTGGCAGTCCATGGTATATTCACTATTCTTCACCAACACCATAATTCAAAGGCATCAATTCTTCTTAGGTCTTCCTTATTCGTTGTCCAGCTTTCACATTCATATGAGGCGATTGAAAATACCATGGCTTGGGTCAAGGGTACCTTAGTCCTTAAGGACTTCTTTGGGGGGGTCATTATTCTGCCTGCCCCAAGGAGTGGGGGTAGGGTGGGAGCCCACAAGCAAACATTTCATGAAGGACCCCATCACCCTCTGTTCATTAAGGACTGCACTTCTTTTCCCGGTTCCCTATAGAATTCAGGAATTTCTTGAGTTATAATTAAAACTTGGTTTTAAGGAGCTCTTATCTGGAGCCTTGGTGGTACAGTGGTTAAGAATTCCGCTGCTAACCAAAAGGTCAGCTGTTTGAATACACCAGCCGCCCCTTAGAAACCCTACAGGGCAGTTCTACTCTCTCCTGTAAGGTCACTATGAGTTGGAATTGACTCGACAGCAATGGGTTTGGTTTTGGCTTATTTCAGTTAGAAGATGTAAGGGTGAGTATTTAAAGGTATAAAAATAAAGCAGAGAGAAGAATATACATGTGTATATATTTACTTGCAAATACATAAAATTATGTGTTAGGATATATAAGAAATGGAAAACGTTGGTGCCTTTGGGGAAGGGAACTGAACAGCTGGGGGACGGTGGTGGGTATTGTTTCATCCAGATCTCTACCAACTTTGTTGTTATTGTTAGCTACCATCCAGTCCATCCTCGACTCACGACCACCCCGTGCACAATGGAGCAAAATGGTGCCCAGTCCTGTGCCTTCCCCATGGGATGATTTAAAAGTTTAAATTATAATTTAAAAGATTAAGTTATATTAAGTATTTTGCCCCTTAAAATGTGGCTATGGCCTCAAATGGTATTACACATTTCCAAAAATATGAAAAAAATCTAATGTTCAACTAACAATGCCAGAACTGCTGGACTATTTAGAAGGATTCGTTTTTTAAAATAAATAATTCAAAGAAACGCACAGTTTCCAAAACTTGGACCACTCTGGCTATGTTTTAAATTTATTACAAGGCTACAAAAATGATGCATGACTAAAATAGTTTTGGAATCATAAAAAAGAGTCATTTAATCTGTACTTGAGATATACATTGCCCCAGTAAAATTATTGGGGATGTGACATTTTGATATATCATTTAAAGAAAGTGTATGATTAATCTGTATTTTATTTTAAAAAAAAATTTAAAAAACCCATTGCCATTAGGAAACCCCATATGTGTCAGAGCAGGACTGAGCTCCATATAGGGTTTTTGTGGCTATAATCTTTATAAAAGCGTATCACCAGACCTTTCCATGGTGTGGCTAGGTGGGTTGAAACCAACAACCTTTGGGTTAGTAACCAAGAGCAAGCCGTTGCACCACCCAGGAACCTGTTGTATTACAATAATTAATAATCAAAGGTCTCAATTACTGTCTTAGTTGCCTAGTGCTGCTATAACAGAAATACCACAAGTGGATGGCTTTAACAAAGAGAAATTTATTTTCTCACAGTCTAGTATACTAGAAGTCCAAATTCAGGGCATCAGCTCCAGGGGAAGGCTTCTTCTCTCTGTCGACTCTGGAGGAAGGTCCTTCTCATTAACCTTCCCTTGGACTAGGAGCTTCTCTGCACAGGGACCTGGGATCCAAAGGACGCACTCTGCTTGCAGCACTGCTTTATTGGTAGTATGAAGTCCCCAACTCTCTGCTCTCTTCCCTTCCCTTTTATCTCTTGTAAGATAAAAGGTGGTGCAGGCCACAACCGAGGGAAGCTTCCTTTACATTGAATCAGGGATGTGACCTGAGCAAGGTTGTTACATCCCACCCTAATCCTCCTTAACTACAGGCAGAGATTATGATTTATAGCACATAGGAAAATCAGAAAATGGAGGACAACCACACAATCCTGGGAATCATGGCCTAACCAAGTGAGCATATATTTTGGGGGGACACAATTCAGTCTATGACACTTACTATTTACCTCCTAACACTTTCTAAATTGTGCACTTAGTTCAGTCTATTCATAAGAAACCTGTCTTCCTTTTCCTGGTAAAATCTCTTTCAGTAACAGCTGTCAAATGTGTTTCACTGGAGAAGTGACTCAGATTACCCATGGGATGACAGGCTAATGGTTCTTTCTCTAAAAAGAACAGAATGAGCTGACAAGAGGACTCTTCGGGTGTATATTTATTTTTTAATTAAGAATAAAACACACTCAGGCAGTCAAATATTTTACAGAATCATAGCTATAAATTTTTGGAAATTTGTCAGGTTTATTATGATGTTATTGAATCAGAGAACTATAGAAAGTGGTCATGAATGTACTGTGAGGTCCTATTAATTGTACGTTAATCAGAATCACTAATTTTTTTCCCGTATGGTTACAATTCCATGCTTTTCA